TGTGCCCGCCATTGGAATTACTATGGGCCCTGCAAAAAGAAGAGGGGGAGAACGAGGGAGAGTGGGGGGAAGGGAGGGGGAGGGACGAAGGAAGAGGGAAAACGCAAGGAGAGAAGGAGCGAAGAGGGGGGCAGTTGCTTATAGGCAGAGAGAGAGAGAGAAAAAACAATTACCCCAGTGCGACCCTACCTAGGAGTTGGAGCCCCCATGGAAGCAGCATTGGTAGTAACACTAAAGTTAAGCTCAAGCTAAACTAAAGCTAAGCTAAAGCTAAGTTAAAGCTAAGCTAAAACTTAGCTAAAGCTAAGCTGAAGCTAAGCTAAAGCTAAGCTAAAGATAAGATAACGCTAAGCTAAAGCTAAGCTGAAGCTACGCTAAATCTGAGCTAAAGCTAAGGTACAGCTAAGCTAAAGCGAAGGTAAAGCTAAGCTAAAGATAAGCTACATATAAGCTAAAGTTAAGCTGCAGCTGTGATAAAGCTAAGCGAAAGCTAAACGAACGTTAAGCTAAAGATAAACTATAGATAACATGTAGCTAAGCTAAAGCTAAGGTAAAGCTAAGCTAAAGCTTCGCTAGATATAAGCTAAAGCGAAGGTAAAGCTAAGCTACAGCTAAGATAACGCTAAGCTACAGCTAAGCTAAAGCTAAGCTAAAGCTAACTAATAGATGCTATGCTAAGCTATGCTAAGCTATGCTATGCAATACTGTGCTATGTTATGCTATGCTGTGCTATGATATGCCATGCTATGCTATGCTACGCTAAGCCAAGCTACATTAGGCTAAGCTAAGCTCAGCTAAGCTAAGGTAAGCCAAGCTAAGCTAAGCTAAGCCGAGCTAAGCTAAGCCAAGCCAAGCTAAGACGAGATAAGCTAAGCCAAGCTAAGGGGGCGCTATGCTAAGCTATGCTAAGCTATGATATGCAATACTGTGCTATGTTATGCGATGCTGTGCTATGATATGCCACGCTATGCTATGCTACGCTAAGCTAAGCTACATTAGGCTAAGCTAAGCTAGGCTAAGCTAAGCTAAGCTAAGGTAAGCCAAGCTAAGCTAAGCTAAGCTAAGCCAAGCTAACCTAAGCCAAGCTAAGCTAAGACGAGATAAGCTAAGCCAAGCTAAGGGGGCGCGACTGGGGGAACCGCGGGGCGGGGACTGGGGGAACCGCCCGGGGCGTGTAGCACTGCCCGGCCCCTTTAAGCTAGAGAGTAAGAACCCTTCTAGGCAGAGCCTAGGTAGGGAGAAAAAAAAAGAGAGGTAGAGAAAGAGAGAGAGAGGGGAGAGAGAGATAGAGAGAGAGAAAGAAAGAAAGAGGAGGGAGGAGGCAGGAGAGGGGAGGTAGAAGGAAGGAGGAAGAGGAGGGAGAGGGGATAGGGCAGAGAGACATAAGGATGAGGGAAGAGAGGAGGGAGAGAGAAGGGAGGAGGAGAGGAGGGAGGAGGGAGAGGGAGGAGGAGCAGGAAGGTAAGAGCGTGAACGTTCGAGGAAGTCCTAGGCGAAAGCGCCGTTCCTGAAGGAAGTCTCGGGCGGGAGCCCACGACGGGCGGGCGATCCCCTGACGGGCGGGTCGGGCGGGTGGGACATTCAAGCGGGATGCCTGAGTATGGCGAGAGCGCGATTCCCAAGTAAATTGTGACGGCGTCCTTGGCGCAGCGTGTTTCCTGAGTGTCGAAAGCGCGATTTCTGAATAAATTGCATGGGAGTCACAGGCGAGAGCGCAATTCCTGAATAAAATGTGAGGGGTTCTCTGACGGGAGCGGGGGTCTTGATTAAATTGCGAAGAAGTCTTGATTCAATCGCGAGGAAGACTCAAGCGGGAGCGCCGTTCCGGAGTAAATTGTTAAGAACTCTCAGATGGGAGCGGGGGTCCTGACTAAATCGCGAGGAAGTCACAAGCGGGAGCACCGATCCTGAGTAAATTGTGAGGAAGTCTCAGGCGGGAGCAGGGGTCCTGAGTAAATTTGGATGAAGTCTCAGGCGGGAGCCGTTGTTGTTGTTGTTGCAATCTTGGGGGCCAAGGGCACAGTTTGAGCACCAAGACTTACCCTGTCAAAAGACAGGGTGCGAGCGTCAAGGGGCACACTTTGATTCAGAAAAAACAATATGCACCGGAGAGGGGGGATCAACAATAATTATTCTTCAGAAATGAGTGTTCAACAACAACAACAACAACAACAACAACAACCACAACAACCACAACAACCACAACAACCACAACAACAACAACAACAACAACAACAACAACAACAACAACAACAACAACAACAACAACAACACCAGCAACATTCATTTTAAGACTGCTCGCTCCTATCTGCTAACGTGCCAATCAATACGTATACGACGTATATCCCAAACCCTCGGTACCCTCCCTCGTCGTCTTCGATCGTATCCCCTTGGGGGTATATCTTCCTTACCTGCCACGTGTATTTAGCGCAGCCCCTAAAACAAAGAAAGAGAGGACGGGTGGAAGGGTGAGGTAGAAGAATGGAGCACAAGAGAAACTAGCAGGAGGGGGGCAAGGAGTAGAAAACAAGTGGTAGAACCAGACGGGCAGATCGGGTGGGCAGACCCATAGCGGGCAGGTAGGGAAGGCGGGCCCAGGCGACGAAGTCGAGCAGGCGGGTTGCTGAAGCGTGGGTCCTGCATGAATCGCGAGGAAGTCTCGAGAGATAGCGCGAGTCCCAAGTAAATCGTAAGAAAAGCCAAAAGCGAAAGCGTGATTCCTGAGCGCCGCGACGTATCGTCTGAATAAAATGCGAGGAAGTCCCGCGCGAGAGCGCGATTCGCACATGAACTGCGAGGAAGTCCCGCGCGAAGGCGCGGATTGGGAAAAAATTGTGAGGAAGTATCAGGCGGGAGCCGTTGTTGTTGTTGTTGATGATGTTGTTGTTGGTGTTGAACTCTCATTCTTGAAGAATAATTATTGTTGATCCCCCCCACTGGTGCACATTGATTTTTTTCGATTGAAGTGCCACCCCCGGGGCTCGCACCTTGTCTTTTCTCAAGGAAAGTCTTCCTGCTCAAACTGTGCCCCTGCCCCCCGGACTACAACAACAACGGCTCCCGCCTGAGACTTCCTCGATTTTTACTCAGGACCCCCGCTCCCGCCTGAGACTTCCGCGCAATTTACTCAGGAAAGGCGCTCCCGTCTGAGACTTCCTCGCAATGTAATCAAGACCCCCGCTCCCGCCTGAGACTTCCGTGCAATTTACGTGGGAACGGCGCTCCCGCCTGAGACTTCTTCCGAATTTTACTCAGGACCCCCGCTCCTGCCTGACATTTCCACGCAATTGACTCAGGAACGGCGCTCCCGCCTGAGACTTCCTCGCAATTTAGTGAGGACCCCCGCTCCGGCCTGAGACTTCCGTGCAATTTGCTCAGGAACGGCGCTCCCGCTTGAGACCTCCTCGCAACTTAGTCAGGGCCCCCGCTTCCGCCTGAGATTTCCTTACAATGTACTCAGGACTGCGCTCTCGCGTGCGACGTCCTCACAAATTATTCTGGAATTGCGTTTCGGCGCTCAGGAACCACGCACGCGCCAAGGACGCCTTCACAACGTGGTATCTTCCCTCTTCCTTCGTCCTTCCCCCTCCCCTTCCTCCCACTCTCCCTCGTTCTTCCCCTCCTCCTCTTGCAGGGCCCGCGCCAATTCCAATGGCGGGCAGAGAGATGTACGCCCCCGAACGATTGTCCGCCCGTTCCGGTTTGCCCGTACGTCTAAGCCCGCCGGCCCCAGCAAAGAGAAATAATCCCCCCGAAAGGGGTGTGATCGAAGACGAAGAGGGCGGGTATCGAGGGTGTAGGGCATACGTGTTGAATGACTCGCGGGCAAGTAAGAGCGTACAGCCTTAAAATGGTTGTTGTTGTTGGTGTTGTTGTTGGTGTTGTTGTTGGTTGTTGTTGTTGGTGTTGTTGTTGGTGTTGTTGTTCTTGTTGTTGTAACTCGGGGGCCAGGGGCCCAGTTTGAGCAGGAAGACTTTCCCTGACAAAAAACAGGGTGCGAGCGTCGAGGGACACATTTTGATTGAGAAAAATAATATGCACTGGTGAGGCGGGATCAACAATAATCATCCTTCAGAGATTAGGGTTCAACAACAACAAAAACAAATGCTTGCATGCCCTGCGATCCGACGTAGCCGAAAAAAAACGCAATCTCGCGAAAAGATCACGACCACGGCCCAGGACCCCCCCTCTTCCTGCACCACTGCTCGCGCCGGAAACCGTTCTGTGAGGGCCCCAGGGCCCGAGAGTGGCCGGGAGCGCCAGGCTCGAAACACTGGCAGCGCCAGGATCTTGAGAACCCCCGCGCCGATCCCTGTCCTCCCGGACTGTGCCCAGAGCACCGCTCCGTCCCTCCCCCCCTCCCCCCCAAGAGGGGCGGTGACGTCGGCGCGGAGAAAACGAAGCCCCACATCGAGCCGCATCGCCGATGCATCGCCGATGCCTCGGCGATGCGGCGCGATCCTCCGACCCCATCCCCAGACAGCCGGCTGCTCCAATTTTTTCGATGCGTGGACCTGCTCCAATTTTTTCGATGCGTGGGCCCTGGAGGTCTGGACCACTTCCCTGGGACCCAGGACCCGTTCTTCGTCCTGAATCGTTTCTGGACGGTCCCGGGGCCCGGCGAGGGCCCCCAGAGGCCGAAAACAGCCCAAAACCGACAGCTCCGATTTTTGTTTGGAGCGTCGGATCTCTGGGCCTGCTCCGACCACATCTGGGAGGCCCAGAGATTGGGGCCCCAGGGACTGGCAGCGCTTGTCGGCGGCGAGCGGTGGGGGGGAAGTGAGAAGGAGAAGGCCTTTTCAGAAGGCAGCAGGACTTCTCAAAAGCCCTCGCGCCTTCAGAGAAGTTTTCTGTGCCTTCGGGGAAGACTCTAAAAACTTCTCGGAAGGCTGGGGGACCTCTGGGCCTTCTGGGAAGGCCCGCCCCTTCTCGCTTCCCCCCCCAGGGCTCGCCGCCGAAGACAAGGCAGAGCGCGGGCGGGCGGGAGGCGGGAGGCGGGCCCGCTGGCGCCGACGCGCCCTGCAGCTCCGGCCTGCCGCGGGCCCCCCAGGGCGGCGACGACGGCGACGACGACGACGACGACGACGACGACGACGACGACGACGACGACGAGGCGACGCCGACGACGAGGCGACGCCGACGACGACGACGAGGCGACGCCGACGCCGCCGACGACGACGACGACGACGACGACGCCGACGACGGCGACAGCGGCGGCGGCGGTGACGGCGGCGGCAACGACGACAACGACAGAGATGTTGTGCCTTTGGCGTTCTGGGGCCCCTGCGGGCTCATCGTCGCAACGGCTGGATCCGCACTGACATTCTGGCCAGAATGCGTTCCCGAAACAGGTCCCAGGGCCGTTTTGCAGAGGAAACAGAAGGAGGAAGAGGAGGAGGAGGAGGAGGAAGACGACGACGACGACGACTACGACGACGACGACGACGACGACGACGACAAGGACCAGTACAAACCCAGGATGCATCAACGATGCTCCAATACACCCAGGTCCCCCCCTCACGTCTCCCTGCAAGTGTTCCTTTCCGCTGCGGGAAGCGCCCAGAAGAATGACGCGCGCCCGGCGGAGCTGCCACGTAGACGAAAAGAAACCCCATGTTGGAAAAGAATCACCTTCCGTCTAGCTGGCAAAGCTCACGGAGGTAGGATGATCAGATTAAAGGACGTGTCTATCGCCTTCCGCATTATTGGTTCGATCTGCCCCCTTCCGTGTAACCTTCGCCAAAAAATGTCGGCCATCAAACGCGGGGAAATCTCGAGCGGGATACCCATCTGAAATGCTACGGCAAAAACAAAATGTTGAAAGCGAACCCACTTCAATCCTCATAAATGCTCTAACATTATGAAGGACTGCGCGCGGCGCGAAGGCGAGAGCCACAGTTTGAAAACGAACCTCCATCCACGTCACTGATGGAAGCTTATTTAACGAACGTGCGCGGTGATAGAGCGAGAGCAACATTAGAGAGAACTCGTTTCACGGGCGTTCGCCTTGGGAACATTCGGCGGCGCGTTTCGAACCGGGGGGGGGCCCCCCCCAACACTCGGCGCCGTCGATCAAAACCAGAGGGGCTCCCCTCCCCCCCAACCCCCCTCCTCCCGAACCCCCACCCCCCAGCGCCGGCGCTGGCAGCCGCCAGCAGCGCCGACGGCGGGGACGCAGCGACGATGACCAGAGGCAGCCCGGGGGGGGTAGGGTTCAAACCCCCACCCCCCACCCCCTGGGTGCGGGGGGGGTTCAAACCCACCCACCCCTGGCGCCGGCGCCGGAGCTGGCGGCGGCCAGCAGCGCCGGCGCTGACGCCGGCGACGGCGGGGACGCAGCGACGATTACCACCACTACCACCACCGCCACCACTACCACAACCACCACCGCCTCAACCCACCACCACCACCACCACCAACCCACCACACAACCACCACCACCACCACCACCACCACCACCACAACCCACCACCACCACAACCACCACCACAACTCACCATCACCACCACCACCACCACCACAAAAACCCACCACCACCACCACAATCTACCACACCACCACCACCACCACCGACACAACCACCACCACTACTAGCAGCAAAACCCACCGCCACCACCACCACCACACCACCACCACCACCACCACCGCCTCCACCACCACCACCACCACGCCCACAAACCACCGCCACCACCACAACCCACCACCACAACCACAAACCACCAGCACACCACCACCGCACCACCACAACCACCACCACCACAACTCACCATCACCACCACTACCACCACAAAAACCACCACCACTACCACCACCACCACCATCACAATCTACCGCACCTCCACCAACACCGCCACAACCACCGCCACTACTAGCAGCACAACCCACCGCCACCACCACCAACCACCACACCACCACCACCACCACCGCCACCACCAACACCACCACCACCTCCACAAACCACCGCCACCACCACAACCCACAACCACCACCACCAAACCACTACCACGCCACCACCACACCACCACCACCACCACAACCCACCACCACCACCACCATCACAAACCACCACCACACCACCACCACCAAACCACCACCACCACCACAACCACCACCACCACCACCACCACCACCACAACAAAACACCACACCACCACCACCACCACAACAAAACACCACACCACCACCACCACAACCACCACCACCGCCACCACCACCACCACAACCCACCACCACCACCACCTTCGTCCTCGTCGACGCTCCCCGCCGCCGCCGCCCGCCGCCGCAGGCGCCGGCGCCGGCCCAGAAAACGAAATCGTCGTCCCCGCCGCCGCGGCCAGCCGCCGCCGACGCAAGCGCCGGCCCGAGGAGAGGGGAAGCAGGGGAGGAAGGGAGGGCGGGGGGTCGAACCCCGCCTCCCCTCCTCCATCCATGGGGGCGTCCGGTTTCAACCCCCCCCCTCCAAGCGACCACAGAACGCGCTCTTTCCAACATTATGGAAACCACTGCCGCTCCATCCTCGTGACTGCTGGACACGTTGAAAACGAATGTGCGCGGCGTGATTGCTGGAAGCTTTAGACACGAATGTGCACGGCGCGGGCGCGAGAGCCGCATTGTGGAAACCACTGCCCGTGCATCCTCGCAACTGCTGGAAACTGTTAAAAATGCATGTGCGCGGCGCTGAGGCGAGAGCCGCATTGTGAGAACCACCGCTAGCTTCAGGATAACAAGCTGCAAGGAAATCTCAACCCGAAAGGCAGGCCTGGCCTACGTCTGGTGGTGTGACAGGGGAAAGTCATTTGCAAGGAGAAAGGAATGGGGGCGAGAGAACGGAGAAAGGAAAGAGGGGGGAGAAGCGGGGAGGAAGGAGGGGAAGAGGAGGTAGGTAGGAGGAGGAGGAGGAGGAGGAGGAGGAGGAGGAGGAGGAGGAGGACCAGTGTGAACCCAAGAGGCATCAATGATGTTGGAATTCGCCGGCCCGACGGGCCAGAGGCGTGCTAAGATCTCTGGTAACAGGTTAACAATATTTCCAGTTCGCGCGCGCGTGGCGGCCCCTGGGGACCCCCGAACGAAAAGTACCCCGGCCCGTCCGACTCAGAGATGGTTTTTCCTTCTGGGCGCGGCTTTCAGGCGCCGCAGAGCACCCCTGGAAGGCCCCAAGAGTCCGCAAGACGATCCAAGAGGGATCCGAGTCACCGACCGATCGATCCAAGACGCCCAAGATAGCCTCCAGACGGCCGCAGACGCCCACAAGACGCCCAACGAGGCCTCGAAGAAGCGTCTCAAGAGGGCCCCAGGAGGCAAAAAACATAAATTTCCCGTGGGTGTTTGAAGGATTTGGGCGTTCTCGTCTTTTCGGCTTTCCAACGCTCCAAGACGGCCCAAGAACCCCCAAGACCGCCCCAAGACGGCCCAAGATAGCCTCCAGACGGCCGCAGACGCCCACAAGACGCCCAACGAGGCCTCGAAGAAGCGTCTCAAGAGGGCCCCAGGAGGCAAAAAACATAAATTTCCCGTGGGTTTTTGAAGGATTTGGGCGTTCTCGTCTTTTCGGCTTTCCAACGCTCCAAGACGGCCCAAGAACCCCCAAGACCGCCCCAAGACGGCCCAAGAAGCCCCCAAGAGGACCCCAAGACGGCCCAAGATGGCCCCAAGACAGCCCAAGAGGCGCCCAAGATGGCCCAAGAGGGCCCCAAAACGGCCCCAAGAGAGGCCCAAGGCGGGGACCAGGAACCGAAAAGTCCAGCTTTCAGCCCCAGGAGGCCCCGAGGAGGCCCCAAGAGGCCCCCAAGAGGCCCCATGGGGCCCCCAAGAGGCACCCAAGAAGCCCCAAGCGGCCCCCTAAGAGGCCCCAAGAGGCCACAACACGGCCCCCAAGAGGCCTCAAAACTGCCTCCCAAATGCCCCTAAGAGGCCCCAACACGGCCCCCAAGCGGCGAGGCAATATGGGCCGGCGGAATGAGCGAAGCGATCCGCCGCCTCACCGGGAACAGCGTGTGGAATCCCCGCCGCATGCTCTGCAAGAACTCTTCACCCTCAGTCCCCTTACCCACGCACTCCTCGTGCCAACTCCTTTCCTCTGAGCCCTGGCAATCCTGGGGTCCTCCCCGGGCCTGCTCATTCCGCCGGTCCGGGGGTCCAGGCTGCGCACTAAGCGCCCGCTGGAGGCCACTTTGCCCTAAACTCCAGCAGGCCTTCGCACGAGAGACTTCCGAACGCCTCTGGGCACCGTTTGGGACCTCCCCAGAGGCCCTCCGGGGCAGTCTTCGGAGCCTCTTGGAGCCCTCTTGGGTTCCTCTGGCCCTTCTTTCGGGCCCTCCGAGGCCGTCTCGGATCCCTCCGAAGCCCTCTTCAAGGCATGCTCACGCAAAAAACTGAGAAGCCAACAACCTTCAAAAACTCTGGGGATGTTGGTGATTCTCGCCGTTTCGGCCTCCTCTTTGCGCCTCGTGGAGCTCTCTTGCAGCATTTTGCGCCACTCTTGGGGCCTCTCTGGTCACGCTGGACTCTCTACAAGGCCTCCTGGGCCGTCCTGAAGGTCTCCTGGACCCATGGAGAGCCTCCTCAAACCGTCTTCGCCGCCCCCAGGGGGCCCCTGGAGAGCCTTCCGAGGCCCCGAGAACTCGTGTGAGTGCTCCTTTCTGGCTCTGGGGAGGTGGGTAGCTTCCAAGCACCCCCCCCCCCCTTTGCACGAAAGGGGGGGAGGGGGGGGGTAGCTTCCAGCAGGGCAGCGCCAAGGGGGGGGGGGGTAGCTTAAGCACCTCCCCCTTTGGAAAGGGGGGGAGGGGGGGTAGCTTCCGGGAGGGCCAAGGGGGGAGGGGGGGGTAGCTGTAAGCCCCCCCCCCTTGCAAAAAAAATGGGGGGAGGGGGGGGCGCCACTGAAGCCTTCTGTGGGGCGTCCTACGGGGCCACGAAACATGTCAGGGGTGTGCCGAAATGGGTGCTGGGGACGCGCGCGAACGGCCCCAGAGGGATCTTCGGTGGAACTCCCTTCAGGGCCACGAAGCGTGTGAGTGGTGCGCCGAGGTGGGTGGCGGGGACTCATGCGAACTGCGCCACTGGGACCTTCGATGGAGATCCCTATAGGGCCACGAAGCGTGTGAGGGGTGTGCCGAAATGGGCGGCGGGGGCGCATGCGGGCGGTGCCACTGAGGCCTTCGGTGGAGCTCCCTACGGGGCCACGAGGCGTGAGGGGTGTACCGAAATGGATGGCGGGGACGCGTGCGAACTGCGCAACTGGGATCTTCGCTGGAACTCCCTATGGGGCCGCGAACCGCGTGAGGGGTGTGCCGAAATGAGTGGCGGGAACGCATGCGAACTGCGCCTCGGGGACCGTCGGTGGAGCTCTATGGGGCCACGGAACGTATGAGGGCGTGCCGAAACAGGTGACGGGGACGCATGCGAACTGCGCCACTGGGATCTTCAATGGAGCTCCGCACGTGACAACGAAACGTTTGAGGGGTGCGCCGAAATGGGCGGGGACGCATGCGGACTGCGTCGCTGGGGCCGTTAGGCGGAGCTCCCTTCGAGGCCACGAAACGTGTGAGGAGTGTACCGAAGTTGGCGGTGGGGACGCATGCGAACTGCGCCACAGGGACCCTTAGGTGGAACTCCCAATATGGCCAAGACGATGACGACGACGACGACGACGACGACGAGTACGACGACGACGATTACAACGACGACGACGACGACGACGAGGATGAGGGTGAGGATAAGGATGAGGGTGAGGATGAGGATGAGGACGAGGATGAGGAGGGGGGTGTTGATGAGGACGACGATGAAATTGAAGATGATAATGAGGATGATAAGAAGATGAGGATGAGGATGAGGATAAGGATGAGGATGAGGATGAGGATGCGGATGCTGGTGATGAGGATAAGGAGTAGGATGAGGATGAGGATGGGGGTGAGGATGAGGATGCTGATCAGGATGACGATGGGAGGATGAGGATGAGGATGGGGATGGAGGTGAGGTTGAGGATGAAGATGAAAATGCTGAAGAAACTGAGAATGAGGATGGGGATTAGGATGGCGATGAGGATGAGGATGAGGATGAGGATGAGAATGAGGATGCGGATTCTGATGATGAGGAGGATTGGGATTAGGACGAGGGTAAAGATGGGAATGAATATGAGGATGTTGACCATGATGATGATGGTGGTGATGGTGACAGTGACGATGCCGATGATGATGAGGATGATGGTGATGGTGATGGTGATGGTGATGGTGATGGTGATGATGATGATGATGCTGATGATTATGGTGCTGATGATGGTGATGCTAACGATGAAAATAATGGTGACGATGATGATGTTGATGATGATGATGATGATGGTGATGATCATGATGATGACGATGATGATGATGATGATGATGATGATGATGGTGATGATGATGATAATGATGATGATGATGATAATGATGATGATGATGATGATGACAGTGTTGATGAGTATGGTGATGGTATCCTGTTGAGGACGACAACGACGAGGACGATGAGGACAGGGATGAGGATGAGGATACTGATGATGATGAAGATGATGCTGCTGGTAATGTTGATGGTGATGATGAGGATGATACCGATGTTGATGATGATGTTGATGATGACGTTGTTGATGATGATGCTGATGATGATGCTGGTGATGGTGGTGATGATGATGAGATGAGATGAGATGAAGATGTCGGTGAGGATATGCGGAGGGCAGAGGCAGGGATGAGAGGAGGGAGGAGCTGGAGGAAGGAGGGAGAGGAAGGAAGGAGACGCGGGGCGCTGTATCTTCAAAACAAAGACCCAACACCACAGGATGGTTGGGAACTGTAACGGCTTCAAAAATGGAAGGCGGGTTCTTTTCCAGATGTGACTCTCCCATTAGCGCGGCGCACATTCTCATGTTTACAAACTGCAGCAGCTTCACGGAGGACGGGCGAGTGGTTCTCAAAATGTGGCCCACGCCTTGGCGCTGCGCAGAGTCGTCTTACAGAAGGTTGCAGCAGCTTCAAGGACGGAAGGCGGGCCAGTCTACCATTTATCGCTGTCGCCATAGCGCTGCGCACATTGGTCTTACAAGCTAACAGTCAGTTCAAGCATTCGTACTGTTTCTGGCGCGCCTTATGACTGCAAGGACACAACAGCAACGTTGATTCGCTGTGTTGAAGTTTGAGATTGCCAAGTTAAGATTCGCAGTATGGCACGGCTTCAGATTGCCAGGGCGAAACAGTCACGTTGAGTCGCGGCGTTGAAGTCCCAGGAACTGTGCTTTGGAACGATTGAGGGTTCTCGGGCGCCTGTCTTCCAATGGGGCACTTCCTGCACTGAAGATAAATTATTGCGGGTACGTGTGAAGAGGAAGCTTGGAGGGCGAGTGTATTGCAGAATCGCTGATGCGTCTGAAGTGTACACTAATTCCCCTCCACCTCCACCTCCTCTGCGTATACTTCGAACTAGTATATTATGAGCCGTCCTCGTCCTCCACGGTCCTCCTCCTCCTCCCTCCTCCTCCTCCTCCTCCTCCTCCTTCCTCCTCCTCCTCCTCTCCTCCTCCTCCTCCTCCCCCTCCCCCTCCCCCTCCCCCTCCCCCCCCCTCCCCCTCCCCTCCCCTCACTCCTCCTCCTCCTCCTCCTCCTCCTCCTCCTCCTCCACTCCTCCTCCTCCTCCTCCTCCCTCCTCTCCTCCTCCTCCTCCTCCTCCTCCTCCTCATCCTCCTCCTCCTCCTCCTCCTCCTCCTCCTCCTACTGGGAGGCCAAGCAGGCAGTCCTCCCTCCCACCCGACTGGGGGGCGGGGCGGGTAGCGCCCGGCCAGCCTGCGCGGAGCTCGACGCGCCGCTCCTGCCGGCTGCGGTGCCGGCGGCGTCCCCCTCGGCAGGCGCGCGCGCGAGGGCGGCGGCGGCGGCGACCAGCGGCGGCGGCGGCAAGCGGCAAGCGGCGAGCGGCGGCGAGGGGAGGGGGGGGCAGGCGTCCCAGGCGTTTCAAGAAACAAGAGCACGCTGATGGTCGGCCTGTCGATAGGCTTCACCACCTGGAGGCCGTGCGGCCCCGAAGGCTTCACAGAACGGCCCCGGGACGACGAAGAGGCCCCGGGGAAGCGGTCGCGGGCAGTTTTGGGCGGCAGGCAGGCGGCACCGAGCTCCGCACGCTGCTATTTCTGTCGCGCCGGGCGTTGTTCGCCCAGCTTCCGGGCCCTGGGGCCCTCGCAGACCGATCCAGCCCGAAGGATGCCACCGCAAGATGGGGTCCAGGGCTCTGGTCGTGAATCTTGTTCCCGATGTTGCAGGGGGGGAGAGAGAGGGGGGGGGATAATCGGCAGCGCGCAGACGGCCCAGGACGCGTGCCGGAAGATCGGAGGCCTCCTGAGCCCTCGAAGAGGGCCCGACCCCGACGCCGTGCCCCCTCCGCGCGCCCCCCCAGACCAGCCAGGTGCGCTCGCGCCAGATCTGGCAGCCTACGGCAGGTTCGTGTCGTGCCGACCCCAGCGTTGGTTTTTGACACCACAGGGATCGTTCAACCTTGAACGATCGGCCGCTGCCGCAACGTCCGATCGTTCAACATCGATCGATTCTGGGTCGCCGGCGGCGTTCAACCTTGAACGCCCGCGCTGGGGTCGCCGCTGGTCGACACGACGCAAACCTACCGTACCTCTCCAGTGCACCCGCTCCCATTGCGCGGATGTTGTTCTCCATGCGCCGACGGGTGTCATGAGCGGGCCTGGAACTGACCCCCATCGGGCTGTGCGTTGAAGAGAGAGGGCGGGGGGAGGTCGGGAGGGGATCACGTACCGTCGGGGCGTTAACCTAAGGAACCCAAAATAAGAAACGAGGCCCCTTTCCTCCAGAATTTAAACTTCGACTTCCCATCGAAAACCTAAGGAAACCCTGAGGCAAACTGTGAAACAATCGAGGAACACCGAGCCCCTCCAGGTGCTCAGGCCTTCTCAAACCACTCGGAAGTTGCGCAGCCTCGTACGACGCGTGGGGGGCTGGCACTCTGACAACAGTGAAGGGGCCCTGGGACACGCAAGTAAATGCACACGAATAACAGGATTCCCCATAGTTTCCTATAGTTCCTGGGTTTCTGTCTTCCCCCCCCACTTCCCATATTTTCCCATATCTTCTTCGAAATCGACGATGAACTGTGTCTGTGCTTTTCGTCCCCTCCCGAAACGGCTTTCCCGGGGAGCGGGACTGGGAGATGCCAATGCCTCCGCACCTCGAGCGAGCAAGAGCGGGGTCAGCTCCTGGTGCCCACCCACCCCCCGGGGAAAAGGAGGCGGGCGGAGGGAGGGAGAGAGGAGAGGAGAGAGGAGGAGGGAGGGAGCGGAGAGAGGAGAGGAGGGAGAGAGGAGGGAGGGAGGAGGGAGAGAGAGGAGGGAGAGGAGAGAGGAGAGGAGGGAGAGAGGAGGGAGGAGGAGGGAGAGGGGAGAGAGGATGGAGCAGAGGGGAGGGACTTAGATTCGTGCAGAGTCTAAGATTAGGTCGGGCCTGTCCCCCTGCAGGGGGATTTTGGGTGAAAAACAGAAAGTACACAAAAAATGCTCAAAGGATGCCCACACATACTAAGAAAAAAAAATGGACGCCATACTGTTTTTTGACTATTTTGGAACATCCCCTCTGTAGAGGGAGAAAGGGGAGGATGGAGCAGAGGGGAGGGACTCAAACTCGTTCAGAACCTGAGGACCAAAAACCATGTATACCTCTTCGCGTGCTCCCGTTCGTTGAGTTTCTGAGGTTAAGTCGGGCCTGCCCCCCTACAGGGGGACGTTTGGAGGAAAAATAATTATCCTGGCGAAAGACCCAACCATAAGCAATTGTTGGTAACGCGTTGTGGGTGCCGCTTTCGGTGGGGCTCCATATGGGGCCACGAAGCGCTGCCTTGGGTGGGGGAACCGCATGCGGACTGCGCCACCGGGGCGGGCCTTCGGTGGAGCTCCCTATGGGGCTACGAAACGCTGCCCTGGGTGGGGGAACCGCATGCGAACTGCCCCACTGGGGCCTTCGGTGGAGCTCCCTATGGTGCCACGAAACGCTGCCCTGGGCGGGGGAAGCGCATGCGAACTGCGCCACGGGGGCTTTCGGTGGAGCTCCCCATGGGGCCACGAAGCGCTGCCCTGGGTGGGGGAACCGCATGCGAACACCCCCACTGGGGCCTTCGGTGGAGCTCCCTATGGGGCTACGAATCGCTGCCCTGGGTGGGTGAACCGCATGCGAACACCCCCACTGGGGCCTTCGGTGGAGCTCCCTATGGGGCCACGAAACGCTGCCCTGGGTGGGGGAACCGCATGCGAACACCCCCACTGGGGCCTTCGGTGGAGCTCCCTATGGGGCTACGAAACGCTGCCCTGGGTGGGGGAACCGCATGCGAACACCCCCACTGGGGCCTTCGGTGGAGCTCCCTATGGGGCCACGAAACGCTGCCCTGGGTGGGGGAACCGCATGCGAACACCCCCACTGGGGCCTTCGGTGGAGCTCCCTATGGGGCTACGAAACGCTGCCCTGGGTGGGGGAACCGCATGCGAACACCCCCACTGGGGCCTTCGGTGGAGCTCCCTATGGGGCCACGAAACGCTGCCCTGGGTGGGGGAACCGCATGCGAACACCCCCACTGGGGCCTTCGGTGGAGCTCCCTATGGGGCCACGAAACGCTGCCCTGGGTGGGGGAACCGCATGCGAACACCCCCACTGGGGCCTTCGGTGGAGCTCCCTATGGGGCTACGAAACGCTGCCCTGGGTGGGGGAACCGCATGCGAACACCCCCACTGGGGCCTTCGGTGGAGCTCCCTATGGGGCCACGAAACGCTGCCCTGGGTGGGGGAACCGCATGCGAACACCCCCACTGGGGCCTTCGGTGGAGCTCCCTATGGGGCTACGAAACGCTGCCCTGGGTGGGGGAACCGCATGCGAACACCCCCACTGGGGCCTTCGGTGGAGCTCCCTATGGGGCCACGAAACGCTGCCCTGGGTGGGGGAACCGCATGCGAACACCCCCACTGGGGCCTTCGGTGGAGCTCCCTATGGGGCCACGAAACGCTGCCCTGGGTGGGGGAACCGCATGCGAACACCCCCACTGGGGCCTTCGGTGGAGCTCCCTATGGGGCTACGAAACGCTGCCCTGGGTGGGGGAACCGCATGCGAACACCCCCACTGGGGCCTTCGGTGGAGCTCCCTATGGGGCCACGAAACGCTGCCCTGGGTGGGGGAACCGCATGCGAACACCCCCACTGGGGCCTTCGGTGGAGCTCCCTATGGGGCTACGAAACGCTGCCCTGGGTGGGGGAACCGCATGCGAACACCCCCACTGGGGCCTTCGGTGGAGCTCCCTATGGGGCCACGAAACGCTGCCCTGGGTGGGGGAACCGCATGCGAACACCCCCACTGGGGCCTTCGGTGGAGCTCCCTATGGGGCTACGAAACGCTGCCCTGGGTGGGGGAACCGCATGCGAACACCCCCACTGGGGCCTTCGGTGGAGCTCCCTATGGGGCCACGAAACGCTGCCCTGGGTGGGGGAACCGCATGCGAACACCCCCACTGGGGCCTCCCTCCACGAAACGCTGCCCTGGGTGGGGGAGCATGCGAACCCCCCACTGGGGCCTTCGGTGGAGCTCCCTATGGGGCTACGAAACGCTGCCCTGGGTGGGGGAACCGCATGCGAACACCCCCACTGGGGCCTTCGGTGGAGCTCCCTATGGGGCCACGAAACGCTGCCCTGGGTGGGGGAACCGCATGCGAACACCCCCACTGGGGCCTTCGGTGGAGCTCCCTATGGGGCTACGAAACGCTGCCCTGGGTGGGGGAACCGCATGCGAACACCCCCACGAGGGGGAGGAGGAGAGGAAGGAGGGGAACGCGGGGCACCGTCTCTTCAAAACGAGGACCCAACACCACAGGATGGTTGGGAAAAAACACTCCAAAAATACCCCCAAATGGTCAAAAAAAATCGAAAAATCGTCCCCGCACTATTTTCTGACTATTTTGGAATCTCCCCCCTGTAGAGGGACAGGCCCGACTTAAGCCTGAGGACCAAAATCCATGTGAACCTTTTCGCGTGTTCCCTTTCGTTGAGCTTGTGAGGCCCCGAGGTGGCTCCAAGGGCGCCCACGCTGGGGCCGACAGGGACGATGGGGACCCCAAGAAGCCCCCGAGGGCACCCAGGAGCGCCCCAGCAGGACCCCAGGAGGCTGCTTTTCGGGCCCACGAGAGAAGGACCTAATCCGCACCGCCCACCGTTTTCATCGAGGGCCTCTCAGATGGCCCACCAGGTCCCCCAGTTCTCTGCTGCTGGCCTCTTTGCCTCACTGCATGCTGAATTAGGTCAATTCTCTCCACAGCTTGCCTGGGTAGCGCTTCTGGATGGGCTGTTGGCTCCTCCTCCTCCTCCTCCTCCTCCTCCTCCTCCTCCTCCTCCTCCTCCTCCTCCTCCTCCTCCTCCTCCTCCTCCTCCTCCTCCTCCATGCCTCCCCTTCCCTCAGAAGTAATTAACTCTCCCCTTATCGCACCCCCAGACGTTTCGGTAGGGAGGGCTGGGCGTTTTGCCTGGAACTGCCTCGCAGTTGATGCCCATGAGCTTAAAACTTCACAAGAGCTTCACGGATGGAGAGCGGGTCGTTTTCAAAATGTGGCTCTCGCCTCAGCGCCGCGCACAGCAGCTTCGCGGATGAAGGGCGAGTGGATTACAAAATGTTGCTCTCGCCTCAGCGCCGCGCACGTTCGTCTTTAAGGTTGCAACAGTTGTTCAAGGATGGACACAGTCCCTTTCAAAGTTTCTACGTCGCCTTAGCGCCGCACACATTGGTCATAGAAGTGTGCTACGTACTGCTTCCAGGTGTCGTATAGTTGAAGTACCAGGACATTTGTTCTGGCGCGATTCAGGAGTGTCAGGACGCAGCAGTCACGTTGATTCGCGGTGCTAAAATCTCAGGCACTGTGTTCTGGCACGATTCAAGACTGCCAGGGCGAAACAGTCACGTTGATCGAGCATCCGCCGACCCTGTCAGCGTGTATTGGACGTTTTTCTGTTTGAGTCTCCGTCGCCACTCTCCCGCTTTCCCTGGGTCATCCTCCTCCAGCGACTCAGCCAAACGGACATCGAACAGCGTCGTAATCGACTCGATAAGAAGCCTCTTCCCTTCGAACCCTTCTCCGCGCTGGGGGGGGGAAGGGGGTTGCAGGGGGTACCGGGGGGGTACCGGGAGGGCCTCGGAGGGGGTGTCCAGGGGGTGTCCCCGGGGGTGTTCCAGGGGGGGTCCTGGGGGCCGTGGACCCCCCCCCTCTCCGACTGCGACGGCCCAGAAGAGCCCCACGGAGCCGCAAGGGGGGGGGGGGGAACACCCATCGAGTCGAAAGGAAGGCCCTCGATCCCCTCCGCGCCGGAGGGGGGCGGTTCTGGGAGAGGATCGCTGGGGGCGGTCCTGGGAGGGATTCCAGAGGGGTCCGAAGGTCAGCAGGGCCCACAAGAGTCCCCCACGAGGGCTCGAGAGCGTCGTCGTCGCCGTTGGCGCCTTCGTCGTCCCCCTTCAGGGTGGGCGGCACCGGCCGTAAGGCCTTCGCAGTAAGTTGTTGCAGAGACCCGTAAAGAAGGAATATGCAGGGAGAGCTGATTGCAAGTGGGTTTACTCTGGTCCTCCTCCTCCTCCTCGTCCTCCTCCTCCCCCTCCTTCTTCTCTTTCTCTTCCTCCTAGAGGATCCAGCACGAAGGAGGAGCGGGAGGGGGGTAATGCAGAGAGGGTGGGCAGAGACGGTGTGGAGGGGGGAGGGAGGAGCGGGGTCGGGCAGAGAGGAGGGGCAGAGAGGATGGAGGAACGGGAAGGGGGGCAGAGAGGAGGGGCAGCGAGGAGAAAGAAGTGGGAGGAGGGGCATGGGGGAGGGAGGGAGGAGGAGGGAGGAGGGAGGAGGAGGAGGGAGAGGAAGGGAGGAAGGAGGGAGGAGGAAGGGAGGAAGGAGGGAGGAGGGAGGAGGGAGGAGGGAGGAGGGAGGAGGGAGGAGGGAGGAGGGAGGGAGGAGGGAGGAGGAGGAGGGAGGAAGGAGGAGGAGAAGGAGGACGAGGACGAGGGACGAGGAAAGAGAGAAGGGAAAAAAGCGGAAGAAGGGAGGAAGAAGGGAGGAGGGAGGAGGAGGACGACGACGAGGAGGACGAGGACGAGGGACGAGGGACGAGTAAGGAAGGAGAAAGGAGGAGTGAGGAAGGCCGAGGGAGGAAGGAGGAGGGAGGAGGGAGGAGGGAGGGGGGAGGAGGGAACAGGGAGGACAGAGGAAGGGGGAGGGAGGAGGGAGGAGGGAGGAGGGAGGAGGGAGGAGAGGGAGGAGGACGAGAGAGGGAAGGGGAGGAGGGAGAAGGAAGGAGGAGAGAGGGCGGAGGAGGGAGGAGAAGGAGGGAGGCAGGAGGGAGGAGGGAGAAGGGAGGAGGGAGGAAGGGAGGAGGGGAGGAGGGGAGGAAGGGAGGGAGGGATCGGCGGGATCCTGCGCACGCAGCAGAAACGGCGCTGCGGCCGCCCTCCCCTGGCGCGCGAGGGGTGCACCAGACGGCCCCGGCCTCGCCCATCTCGCGCAGCAGCCTCTCGTCGTCGGCCTTCTGCAACCTGCTCCGCGCGCGAGCGGCGAAGAGGGAGGAGGAGGAGGAGGAGGAGGAGGAGGAGGAGGAGGAGGAGGCTCGAGGACGGCGGCTCAGAGGTCGCGGCTCTCGAACACCTTCGGGCGTCCAGAGGGCGCCCTCGTGGCCACGGCTGGACTCCCAGCCGGATCCTGGCTTGCATGAGGTCGGGCATGTCCTCCTGCAGGCGAATTCTGGGACGAGAAATGCGAAAGCAGTCAAAAAAAGACCCCCCAAATCGTTCAAGAGTGATCGGAGAATCGTCCCTGGACTATTGCTTGACTACTTTTGAATATTCCTCCTGTGGAGGGACAGGCCCGACTCAAGGCTTGCACGCACCCCTGGACGAGTTCAGGGGCCAACTTGTGGCCCCAGACCACCCCTCCGCCGACCCCTCCGCGCGTCGCGAAACACTGAGCGAGGCGCAAGCTTCGGAGAGACCTCCTGGGAGGTGCTCGCGCGCAAACGATCATTGGCGGTGCGCACACGGGGGGTGGAGAGAGAGGGGAGGGCTTATTCGAAGGAGGCGACTTCTCACAAGGCGCCGGCCCTGCATCTATAGATGAAGCCCGCGCCTTCTAAGAAGCAGGGGTGCTTCTAAGAAGCCCGCCCCCCTCCCCCCACACCCCCTCGGCGCGTGGCTGAGTAGGGGGCGAGCAGGCCGAATCAGGCCAAATTGGGCCCAGGAGTGAGCAGGATTAAGGCCGGATTGGGCGGGGTGAAGCGGAATTGGCCACGACTATGCAAAAGCAGGCTCGACAGCGAATATACCACCGCCGATGCTAAACAGAACCTCCCAGGGATTGAATCATACGATGAGATGGTTAGGGGAAAAGGTCCCAGGCCTCCTCGTGTTGTGACAGAATCACGACAAAGGGTTCTTGGCAATTCCCGGCCCCCCGGAGGCCCTCACCAGACCGACTTCCTACTCCTCCTCCCCCTCCTCCACCTCCTCCTCCTCCTCCTCATGCTTCTCCTCCTCCTTAGAATTGCCAAATTAGCTGCTTCGCGCCTCCCCCAGCCCTCGGAAGGAGAGAGAGATGCCCAGCAGCAGCTCGACAAGAGAATCAAACGCTTCCTTCAGTATGTGCCGAAGGCTCTTTCGCTGTGGCCCTCGATTGCCCCGAGGGTTGGGGGGAGAGGCCTCGAGGGCCCAGTGAAGGCAACCAACCCGCTTGCAGGTGCTCGCTCGATCGCGGTAGTGTAGCAAAGCGGAGCGAACTCGGGGGGGTCGAGTTCGGGCCCTGGAGCTGCGGCGGCTCCTCCCCCTCCCCGTCCCCACCGTGTTGCCCGCGCACGAGCCCGAGTCGGGCATGCGTGGACGTGGCAGAAAACACGTTGGCTCTGCTGTCTCTGCCACTCGCGATGCACGTCAGATAAGGTAAAACTTTCCAGAGCCAAGGAGTCGTGCCCAGGTAATGCTGCTCGTCTGGCCAAGCTAACAGGGCAGCCGAACGGTCACAAGCATTTAGTGTTCGACAGAATTGCTGAAGAGAGTTTCATTGTTGCATGTCAGTTGTGCGGCGGTTATTCAGAGTGTACCGTTAAGAGCCTCCAGAAGGGTTGTCTCAAGCGATTCACTTCTAATCTTTCAGAAGACGCCTACGGGCGTCTTGCAGAGGGGAGACACCCAAGGGCCTCTAAGACGAGCCCCATTGTCTTCAAGCCTCCGATCCCGCTTGATGCGGTTGCCGTCCAGGCAGCCCAGGCACTCGAGTCGCCCTGAGCCAAGTCGCCCTGTCCAAAGCCGTGCGATGGTCCTCCTCGGCCTGCATGTCCTCCTCCTCCCTCCTCCTCCTCCTCCTCCTCCTCCTCCTCCTCCTCCTCCTCCTCCTCCTCCTCGGCCTCATCCTCCGCCTCCTGATCCTCCTCCTCCTCCTCCTCCTCCTCCTCCTCCTCCTCCTCATCACCATCACCATCACCATCACCATCATCATCATCAGCATCATCATCATCATCATCATCATCATCATCATCATCATCATCATCATCATCATCATCATCAGCATCATCATCATCATCCCTCCACCTCCTCCTCCTCCTCCTCCTCCTGATCAGCATCATCATCATCATCATCACAGCAGCAGCAGCAGCAGAATCATCATCATCATCATCATCATCACACATCATCATCATCATCATCATCATCATCATCATCATCATCATCATCATCATCATCATCATCATCATCATCATCATCATCATCATCATCATCATCATCATCATCATCAATCACATCATCACCATCATCATCAGCAGCATCGTCGTCATCATCATCAGAAGCAGCAGCATCATGAAAGTCACAATCATCATATTCATCATCATCATCAGCATCATCATCATCATCATCATCAGCATCAGCATCAGCATCATCAGCATCATCAGCATCACATCACCATCATCATCAGCAGCATCACCATCAGCATCATCAGCATCAGCATCATCATCGTCATCATCATCATCAGCATCATCATCAGCATCAGCAACAGCATCAGTATCAGCCTCACTCTCATAATCAGCATCATCAGCATCAACAGCAGCATCATCATTATCGGCATCAGCATAAGCAGCATCATGTTCATCATCAGCATCATCATCAGCAGCATCGCGAGCAGCATCATCAACATCGTCATGGTCACCAGCATCATCATCAGCAGCATCATCATCGGCATCAAAATCCTCATCGCCATCATCATCAAATACATCGTCAGAATCATCAGCATCAGCATCATCATCATCATCATCAGTATCATTATCAGCATCTTAATCATCGTCAGCATCACCAGCATCATCCGCATCATCAGCAGCAGCAGTATCATCCTCACCCTCAAACTCAGCATCAATAGCAGACTCAGCATCATCATCATCATCATCATCATCATCATCATCATCATTATCAAAATCATCGTAAGCATCATGTTCAT